TCCAATCTAATTACGGAAACCTTTTAATGAATTTCCAACCGTAAAATTATAAAACAGATTTTGATTAACTTCTTTTAAACTGAAAAGGATTTTTTTAGTTGAAAAAGAAAAGTACGCAGTCAGTGGAAAAATGCATTGGGGATCGTCGTGAATGACGCTCAAGAATGACAATAGTTCATCATCATCATCTTCGTCGTCGTCATCATTATCATTATCATCATCGTCATTATCAACATCACCATCATTATCATTATCATCATCAACAACAAAAAGATAAAATAAAATAAAAATAGCTTAAAGACAGATTTTTAAATATAAAATATCATCATTATCATCATCATCATCATTATTATCACCATCATCATCATCATCATTATCATCATCATCATCAACCGGTACTTTGTTATCATCAAGAAGTGTCTGATATTACATCTTCAATCTTAACTTTTCTCACGGACTTACAAGACAAAAAATTGAATGCCTTTCCTTTTTTCCCTGAACCAAAAAAAATTTTTTTCCCTGCTCGAAAAAAAATGTGAGAAACTTCACAACATTGTTTAAAAACTATATTGCTCTATTTTCCCCAAAGAAGTGTAGTACATACGTGCTTTAACCTCATCTAATAAGTAATATTCCTAATGACCGTAAAAACGAGCTAGCTACAAGAGGATGCAAGCACTATCCGGTAACAACATTACATCCAACGCAAACATGCAGTTTATATTGTTCGAATCGTTGGCCGCAAGACATCAGATTATTGACATTATACTTTGGCAGAGGAAAAATGTATGTTATGACTGCAACGCTAAGTAAGTCGAGTTTGAAGTTTTTTTACAATGGAATAGCCAGTCCATTTGTGAGGCTATTAAGTCAATTTTACTAATTGTTTCCATTTGCCTTTAGGCGAGCGTTCCAAAATGTTTTGAAGAATTCCTCTCGCGTTAGTGACTGAATGATTCGATATGTATGGCAAATTAACGGCGGAAAGCCATCGAGAAAGCTAGAGATGTATTGCATCGAACAGAATAGCTAAAGAGAACTGCAGGTCATAATGGGACTTAATAAACCCAATCGGGTTTAGTTTCATCTGAATTATCAAAAATAGGATTATTAGCAGTGGGTAGAAAAAGAGAGTTTTTCTATAACTTAATCAAAGCGATTAAATAATTTTTTTGCGTGGACGGATCATATAATTTAGCATTGTTCAACTGTTCCATTAGATCTTTTTCTTAGCTATTATTTCCATTATAATCTCTTCTTGCTTCGAGGGTTTTTCCGGGTTCTCCGGTTTTCCTCCTTCCACAAAAATCAACTTCTAAATTCCAATCGGAATTTCAATGGACGAAGAGCTACTCTGTAGAAATGCCACTGCTAACTGAAAACCCGTTTATATATTTATTACCTGACCGTGTACTGCTCGATAATTTAAGTATTCTTTAGACTATCGTTTCTCATGTTATTGTCAGGGCACATTTTAACCTTTTTACTGATTCATTGAATCTTCAATTTAGAATTCCGTAGCCCTGTGGGCAGCTGGAAGTGACCGTGTCTCTAAAAGTATTGAAATTTCGCTCCCATACTGTATATTTTAGAATTTCCTTCCACACTTAAAACATCTTTAGGGCCATTGCAAAAGAATATAAACATCTTACAGTCATTATTTCCATGGTTATCGTTGTTTTTAAATTTTTTGGTTTTTAAACCATATCCACGCTTCCTCGACTGTTCTGGATTTTTGCTCGGCTGTTCTTTTACTCCGCTCATTTCAGTAATGAAGAGCGGTGGTCTTAATGAAGGGATACCTAAAAGTTATTCCTAACCATCTCCTAAACCGCAGTCAAGTAAAATCAAGTACTAAGCTCTGCGCGGCCCCTCGCCAACTGTTTAGGTTATATTACTTTGGAAACCGTTGTTTACGAAGATAAAAAACGATAAATTTTGATACAAGGAGATCTAGGGTCTCATATGCCTTTGAGATTAGATTTCCACCGATAGCAAAGCGTCCATGGCTCATGTTTAATAGAAAACCGAAAACTCATAGGTTAGAATATCATATTATGATCTTCTTGAAGGTTCTTTATCTTCTATTAAGAGACCTCTTTACTATTATTCCGTAAAACGTCAAAGAGTTAGAAATGTAGAAAGTGGAATCGACAAAATAAGAGATTCGAAATAAAAAAGCAAGCGATTTTTTTCTTTCTTTTCTACTGTACCTTGATTATTCCTTCAAAAGAAAATTAAGCAAAACCTCTTGATTAGAAAAAAACTAATTCATTCAGGTTCAAAATTGACGTTTTTATTAGTTCATATTGCCAAAGTTGGGGATGAAAATGTCAAATAATGCGGCGATGTTTTTTTTGACAATAATCTTCAACTTTGGTGTCCTTCCCGTTTCGTGGTGTTTGCGAGAGAAAACTAGAAAGGCTGCAGACAGCTTTTCCAAGCCAACCTCTTTATGTATCAGACGAAAAACCTCCCTCCAAAAATATATTCAACAAAACAACTCTAAATTAACAAACTGGATCTTCATCTTGCGTGATAACTATCTCAAACATCTGGCAACGAAAAAAGTCGGGCCCTAAAAGGGTCTGTTATAGAGGAGTTAATGACTTCCGAAACAGTACTACCTTGGACGAGTCAAATAGTCACGAGTGAGACACCGCCGCCGACGTAATACGCTGGGTCAGTTTATTCCCATCTACAGCAGAGAAACCAGGACGCCATCGCTCATAACGGATGAAGATCTTGATTCACGTGGTAGTTTTGCATCGCCTCAGGGCGCTATTCAAAGGTTAATTGACGTTCCTTTTAATTCTTTTTTAATGCTAGGGAACATTTTTAGATACGCGCTGCAAAGAAAAAAAAAAGCTATATATTTGGAAATCTTTTTCATGACATTTTTTATGCTATTCGAGAAAACGCGTTTTGGACATTGTTTTTTGTTTTCTTCGTGAGCTAGCGCACCAGAGGTAGCTTCTGTTTCCCGCCAAGCATCGTACGAATTGAGCGCTTTCTTCCCGTTTACATTTATAGCATTTAAGACTCACTTATGTGGTCTTTTTTGTTCTATTGCCGACAAAATGCATTGTATGCTATGCGCGGAGCGCGTGCGCCACAGCGCTATTAAATCCAACCACACAACATCTTTGTATCTACGATTGGTGTATTGTACGACACTGACGGATTACGCGGTCACTCATGGTTTTATACGGTCCACTAAAAATAATATCAACAAGATGGATTGATTGGGGATGTTATCTCGGTCGAAATTGAACGGTATTATATGAATTGTCTTCTAACAAATAAACTAGATAATTTATCGACTGTTCGTTTCAACTGATACTAAGTTATATGAATCATGTGAGCAAGCGCGGTCGGCGAGGTGGCAATTCTCCGACATCAATCGACTTCTTCTTGAGTCTTTCTTCCTCTAGGCGATTTAAAAATAGATTTATCCAATTGATTAATATTACACAAAAGGTAATTTGTCCATGGATGTTTACAATAACATTCAGCTTGGGGAGATTAGATCAATCAAAGTTCGCCAAACCTAGTTTAAACATAGACCAAAACAACAAAGGTGGCTCTGGTGTGCCGTTATCTACTGAACAAGTCGTTTTGCTTGTTCCCTAAACATGTCAAAGTTCCATGGAAATAAATGTTATTGTTTCTTTTATTCATGGCAGTAGTGGCCTTATTTATGAGTTAAGTGGTTATGGTCGGTGTTTTTAGAAACTGCACTTTTGAATTGAATCACAATGTATAGCCTGGCATTGTTGGGTTACCTCTAATGAAGCGAACGCCACTCTCGCTGTCTTGTAAATAATCGAGAGGAAGGTCTTACAGTTATTCTCACTATCTAGTCATTCAACCTTCCTATTTAGACATTAACTCATTTGGAAATTCCGTTCGACTTTATTATGTTTTTATTTCAATTTACGCCTTAATATAGCCTACAAAAACCTGATTATCTCAATCAAAATAAACGTCAATCTAAGGCCCCATGCGAAACGACTTCTTGTTTCTCATTTCCCTATTGAATACAGCCACCTTCCTGAACAAATTGTTCCTGTTCATGTTGTCATTCATAGCCGAATTATTTCAATTAATAGTAGTTAGCTATAATCTCCTATCGCCCCAATAATGTCAGCCTGAAATTAGGCCATCTCATTCGGCGCGCGATTCTACAAGCTAAGACTATGTCAATTAAACTTACCTAAAACAAAATGACGTTCACAACTCTCTTTTTCCTCTGTCTATTAGGGCCAATGATCTAGCGGTAATCATAGACCTAATTATGTATCCGTTAGTTGCGTTTCTTAGGGGCGGACGAGACTGGTTTAGAGCAGCTGCAAGAATCCAAACCATACCTTTTTTCTCGTTCAATGAAGTATAATTATGTTTGACTTTAGTCTTTTGACAGAGCGATTCTCTATCACCGTTGCGTCACATTGATGCTTTACTTTCCTGAGACATCTACCCGACAAAAAATCCAATCTTACTATATCTCCCGCGAGGATAATAGTCAAAATTATAGATATTATTTACACGGGCCTCTTCATGTAATTACAAATGGAAAGTGGCTTTCGTTGCAGTGGGCTCTTATAAATACTGCTTTTTACTCGCAGTGGGCGATGAGGAACTACACTACCGAGGTCAATTTTCTTTTCGAGTCGATTAGACGCGCAAAAGACCTAACAACTAGACTCTAGGTTAATTTAGCCCATTCCCATCTAAGCCTTCTAATAGGTCCTTGACTATCATGGTCTAATCCCTTGTCAACCAAGCTTGTTTTAATATCGTACTAAGTTAAGAAGACGTGTAGGAAAAATCCCTTCAAAGCGCCTCCAAACGCAACAAACATGAAATCATTATGCTAAATGCATTAACAGATTTTTGCTTCTTCAAATGAACGTCTTGGTATAGTTTTCAATCAATCGCAAGTCCAGTCCTAACCGATTGATTATCGCTGTTTATCTCATAAAATACTAATAGTCTGATTACCCTATGTTAGAGAGTAGGTCACGTGGCTGGCAGGCCGGCTATTTGTACATTGAGCTGGCAAGCAGTTTTCAGTGGCTTAGTAAGTGATTCAGTGACCAGAGCGAGCCATCGTGAACTAAGCACGCAGGTTAACGGTTTTACCAGCGAGAAGTGAAGTTCTTATCCTCGTCTTCATCAAGGTGCGGAGCCCGGTTGACATAACTATTTAATCTTTTGATCGGAGATTTGAATGGTAATACCGAGAGCGATCTTCTCTCTGGATTTTCAACTTTTTTGTCACTCCAATACTCAACTGGTTCTCTTTCTCTGCTTGGTTTCTGATTCATCTAGGTTAAAGAGGCTAAGCAAAAGCGATCCAAGAAGAGCAAGCCAAGATGCCGAGATCTTTTCTAGTGAAAAAGAAAAAGCTTCAAAAATCAGCCAGCCCAGAGGACGAAAAATCATTCAGCAATCAAGGTGATTTAGGTAAGCAGTCAACCTGTCTGTCATTCTTAGCTCCTAAGCTGTTTTCAATGGCTACTAAAATTGTGCGCAGAATATGCTACTAAGAAATGCGTGGACGACCTTTGCTTTTGTTTGACGATGAACCTTTAGAGATACTTAGTCCAATCTAATGCTAACTCTAGCCCGCACTGTGACCTCCGAGATAACAGGTTTCAAAACAGCCACACATAACTGAAACTTGCTCCAGCACGCACGAAACTGCGACAATCTAAAACTTCACGGCGGTGCAAAATCCGCTGCGTTTTTGAGGTTTAAAACTTCGAACTCTTCAGGAAAACCATTCGCCTTCGGAATCAGAAATAAAATAGAGATCAAAAGGGGTTTAGTTGAAGAAAGTGGAGATGACAGAAAGAAGAAATGGATTGTGTTTCTTGAAAACCGCAAAAGGCATCTAGAGATAGGTAAAGATAGGGTAAGAGGGAGGGACACACGTTTTGCTTAGCCGGGTTGTTAATGGACGATCAAACAATAAACGACTTTCATTTTCAATTCATATTAAGAGCTTGACTTTGACGAAAAAATCATGAGAGCGCGCGTTACTATTCATTTACTAAAGTAATTCTCGTAACAAGGACGAAACTGTGAATTCATAATGATTTTTTCCGATTCATCACTTAGCAGAGTTGAAGAGTGGGGTTTTTTGTTTTAAAATGTTCAATGATTCGTATACAGCTTAGGACTCACGGTTTATCAGTGGTTTTCAACTCGTTATTCAAGCGGATTGAACTTTTTTTCTGACGTTTTTATTCCCGCGTTGAAGGATCCAGCCATTTCTCGTCCTACGATTACTAAGTACAAACAAATAATCCCTTGGTTGGAATAGTTCATTTGTTTAGATAGACAACAAGACACGCGTGTTATCCTCATTGTCAATGCTTAACGCGTCCTATTGAAGCACACAACAGAAAAGCAATCCCTTTTAGCAGAGCACAAAATAACTCCTAACCACTAGTGCAAAAAGTCTTTTAGCACCTCTATGAAAGTCGTAATCGTTTTTCTCTCGCGTGCTAAGTACAGCAACTTTGCTACGATTTTCTAACTGAGTTTTTAACACCAAGCAACGCTATAAATGCAGTTGATTTTTTAATGCTTTCTTTTAAGAGTAAAGTAGAGTTTACACTTTGAAAGTGAAATCTGATACATCTATTCGGCTCAGTACCGAAAATACGATACCAAAATAAAAAGGATTTCACTGCGCAAAACTCTCTCTTTAGCTCCTGGGATTCTTGTCTCAAATGTTCTCAAAAATTACTCCTAGATCATTCAACGACGTGTGGAGTTTGAAACATTTTCTCAGTATAATTCCTGACAAAAGTATTTTTTCAGTAATGACTTGTATATAGAATACATGCTTATCGTTATGTTTGTATTTGGGCAGATGTGGGATAATAATCGCCCGTTTTGGTCAAACTTTTACTTTGTATCTTTCATTCTATTTGCTACGCTTTATTCTGTTCTATATAAATGAGTTCGCGATAGATGCCTTTGTCTCGTTTTTATGACCCTGTACCTTAAGACTCCTAGATCTTAGCAGGTGCGTATTTTCCTTAGAGATCGCTTGTCCTATGATATGGAACTCTTTACGTTGATTGAAAGGCTGATTCCCAATAAAAGATAGTTAGAGTATAGCTTATTTATCTATCGTTATAACCAATAGTTCCCGCCTACAAAACCAGAAAAACTTCTTTAAAAAAATAGAGCAATTTTTGAAGTTTCCTGAAAAACGATTTTTCACATTTATTTTGTTTTTACTCAAAATCCATTTTCTTTTCTCTCGGATATAGTCCCTTAAATACGTTCCCATCAACAGACGAAGTAGATAAAAGTGTGAAAATTGACCGTGGTACCAAATAGACTATTGTTAATATTCATTTGCTCAATTTCTTACTTAAATAGAAGTGCTAAAAAATATAGCACCTTTGTTTAGATATTAACGGGCTTTAATCTAAACGCTTCGAGTGCTAAAAGAACCAAGATAGAAGATAGCCCAGTATTAAGCACAGTCAGGCTATATAGAATTTCTTGCGAGTTTATTCCTCATCTTTCTCAAGAACAAGAATCAAAACTTACCCTAAAAGAATCAAATTTTCCTTTTACAATCATTTAACTTTATTGTGTACAAAGAAAACTTATCCTTTTGTATAAATCTTTTCCGCTATTACAAAAACTACTAAATCTATGTAAATAAGAAACACACAGATGTCCAAGATTAAAAAAATGGTAAAATAAATTGGCTAGCTTGTTGTCGGCCTGATTGTCACCTTAATAAAGTTTTCCAGTTTTCTATAGGATTGGAAACAAATTGAATTTCAATCGTAAATCGTCATTTTGCCTTCTTCGTTTTACAATGAGTCTTATTCGCTAACTAGTCGTTGTACTGTTAAAATCAATAAAAAAGATAACTTACAGTCAATAGAAAAGTCATTCTGACATGTTTATAGAGAATTCCAAGTGGTTTTGCTGCTTAGATACCGTTTGAACTGTAAAGCGTTTTTAGTTTCACAACCGCGACTTGAGTTCTCTTATTTCCGCATTGAACAAATGTCGTTGTTCAAAATCAATTCTAGTTATGATCAAAGGTCAAAAAAAACATAATATTAGCAAAATGTTTTGGTGATTATGGACAAAAAAAGGTTCAGAAATAAGGCTTTATCTGTTTTATTTGATGCTGAAGTTATCCGCCATGATAAATTAGATCAGAGTTAGTTTCTAAGCTCCCTGTAAACACTGCTCTAAGTCTAGCTACAGTCCGTACACTTCATTTTTTTGACTGTTCGATAGATAATCTTGTATACTTATTCCATTTACACTCGAAATGGCGAGACAATAAGGATGTTTGATGATGTACAAACTTGTCCAATTCTGGAAAAAAACTCAAGAATCTAAGCCTGAAAAAAGACCTCATTAAAATCTCATCAATAAGTCTAAGATTTCAGGGTATTTCCAAACATCTGAAACTAGAAAGAAAGAAAATAATACGCCCAAACAATAACAAATTTTAAAAATCGAAAAATCAAAAAAGTTAGTACAAAAATTGACCGAGATTTAAGTTGTTGAAGTAATTCCTTAATTTCGCTGTGTTTAGGGAATTTGCCGTCACAATACTCGGGAAAAACAAAAAAAAAAAAAAAAGAAGAAAGAAGTGTTTTGTAGATTAGGTTTTGATCTTTGTGACAAATAAGGGCGGACTCCTTGTCACGGGTTTTTTGACGATGAGCGCGAAGCGAGCCAGTATAGTAGTAGTTCAGTGCAGACGTTTTTCTTTATTTCCTTAATGTCAACATTCAGCTAAAAAGGACTTGATTGCTTTTTAAATTACCAGGAATGGCTTACGCTTTTAGTTAAGAAAACAATTTTTTTGCATTTAATGAATTATTGAAAGAATTAAATTGTTTGAACTTAGTACAAGCGAGCGCTCAAGAAATATGCGGATTCAATCCTAAATTGGCTTTACTGCCACTCGCTTTGAAGCAAACCAAACAGCTAATCCAATCCCAAAACCATTTAATCATGTTTGTTTTTGCCAAAAATTAAAAGTGAAAAAAACGAAGATTAATGACGGATGACTTTTAAAGGGATAAATCCGCGCAGATTATCGGTAAACTATTGGTATTAGGCCAAGCTAAAAAACTACTTTGGCCGGTACAACATGTATAATGGCGCAACGCTGACTTCCAGTACCGCCCTCATAAATCGATAGCCCAAGGAAGCAGATAGAAAAGTCACTTTATTTGTTTATTTTCCCCAATATTTCTTCCTCTATCTTAAAATAAAAGCAAACTATCAAACGCGTGAATCATAAACGGCAAATTGGAAAAAACACCAAGATTTAGAACCAAAATAACGAGATTATCTTTGTTGGAATTAAGGCTATTTAGAAAACCGTCGCAATCACTCATTATATTCTTTCTTTAAATTCGTCTTTGATTCATTTAGCCTTCAATTAATTTGTTATCTCGAGAGTACGTTTTGTGGTTAGAGGTTTTTCTCTTTATTTTTCACAATATGTAACCTCAATTCACAGTTATACTTTACTCTGAAATCGGTTAACCGTGATTTGAGGCAACAGCATCGATATTTTCAATTTTTCCTTGTTTTTCTCAATAAAGACGTGGCATCTGTGTGGTTATTAACTATCCTTCCTATAAAAGAAGGGCATATTTTTTTGTCTTTATTAGTCAAAATCCCTCGCCATGAGCATAAATATTTAATGCTAGCAACTGGATATCCGTTCTCCGCTTCTTCACAACTTTACCTCAACTTTGACCTAAAATACGCACGAGGTTGAAAAAATGTAAGTTCAAGAAACCGCATTTTCCACCTACTCGTGAGATAGACTATTAAGGTGGCTCTATAAATATGGAAAAAAGAAAAGTGGCTTAAATAGTCGTCGAAAAATACTTTAACCAAATAACCACATTTTGGGATTGTTATTTATTGACATCATTGTGATAGATCGAAGGAAATTTTTTTTGAATTAGTCATCGCCGTGAACCATGTATAGGATAACTGATTTTAGGTCAGTGATCGGCATATCAGTGTTGCTGTTTGCCTCCGCCGGCTTTGACAACATGGATTGGATAGTTTAAAAAGAGATAAAAGAATGAATGAATGAATGAATGAATGAAACAAACAAACCAAAGAAACAAATAGTAATACTTTTCAGTATACCAAAAACTATAATTCGTCTGTCGTACCTCTTCCAAAATCAGGTTCAAACGTTCAATTCTTTCCAACATTCTGACTTCTTTTTACCTTTTTAATTGCTCCAATTAACTTAATTCAAAGCGAAAAGACATCTTATATTGGAATAAACGAACATAAGCTTGCATCCCTCACATAAACCAGGGTTTTATTATCAAAGGGTTAATCTTTCTTAGGCGGGCGGATATGTCTGTACTTCTAGTGGGTAGAGAAACCAGAAGGTCCCATATAGACAGGTTTTTGTTTGCTGGGCATGA